GATGTGATAAGATTATAGCATGATTACCAACTTATATTTATATTACGACTTGAGATGATATTTTACCACGTTATATGAATGTCTCACGTTTTGGCTATAATTATATGATGTTATCTTTCGAGTTATCCATGATATGAATTCGAGTTTCGATAAAAATGAAAAAATGAAAAACTATAATTATTTTCGAATTTCTCCACTCATTGAGCTTATCAACTCATATATTTTTTCGTAATTTTCCTACATGTGAAAATTAATTTTTTTTAGTTGGGAGAGCCTAATGATTTCGGAATGAGAGTCACACGACATGTTGAGTGTTATAATTCATATTGATGAAGTACGAAGTAAATAATTTGGGCCCACGCATTATATTTTACATAAGCATTAGATTTTGATGCTTTTTTTTTTTTTTTTGTAACTCATGGTTAGCTTTGGTGATGAATTTGACATCTAGTTAGCTTTACTATGGTGATTCGGGACGGGTCGTGTCAAAGTGGTATCAGAGCATGGTTTTAAAAATTTTTATGATTCATGCATGTTCAGTAGGTATGTTCACATGTCGTGGTGGCAAAAATCACAAGCTCTTTAGCTCGAATGTATGGAACCAAAAATGATAGAAAATATTTTTTTAACAGATTTAGAAATGACTAGTATGTAAGTGTGGTAGTCGTAGTGATTCAATGGTTGAAAATGTTATTAGTTGTTGGGTTGGAACTATGTATATATATAACCTATTAAGATTTGAGCAGATTGTGATGATTTTGTGGACATTCGAAGTTATAGATGTTACAACCACTTAATTATCAATTTATTTGTAGAACTACATTATTTTTTTATGTGTATATAGGAAAATTTTTAGTTATAACTTGCATGATAAATATAGGGAAATGATATAATGTGTGATTGGTGATAATCAGTGAGGAATTTTAATTGTTTTTTGAAGCCAAATGGTCTTTAGTATCATCAAAATTTTGTGGCAATTTGTGGCAATTTATATGGGATGATAATAGAAATCATAATGGTGTATATTTATGCTATATGATAAGAAATTGTGGAAGACAAAATAATGATTTTTGATTGATAGATGACAATGTGTTATTGTGTATTTTAGGCATCGAGAAAATTAACGGTAATTCCAATTATTTCGATTATTTATGAGTGGTTTGATTACAAGAAATGTGAGAATAATAGGGATGAACTTCATAATGATTACCAATTATGGGGTGATTTGTTGCTTTAAAAATAGAATTAAATGAATATATGCATTTATGTATGTTTATTTAGCAACAAAAAGAAAATGTGAAATTGAGAATGGTAAAATCGAAGTTTGTTGAGATTGGGAAATTAACATGCCGTATATTGATGTGTGTAATGTTCAAGTGATAAATATGAAGGTTATCATCTTGTGATATTAAGTGAGATTTATATAATTAAATGTTTTAGGTCATACGATATGACGATAAACAAGGTTACAAGATCATAACATGATATGGTGAATAGCATGAAAATGAATGTAATGATTGTCCTATAGCAAAGTAATGTGATGATTTATTTGGGTTATTTAAGTTAATGAATTTTGTTAAGGCCATTTGTTGATTATTTTGTGAGAAATTCATGTAGGTGCTACGTTTGAAATTCTATCCAGGATAGTGCTATTTCTGTCAATGGTTTCGGTGACTGTTCTTAATATACAGGATTTGGTGTTACAATTCAATATTCTGGGATGTTAGTGCTGTTTGTGCCAAAACCCCTTATTTTCAGATTTTAATTGTTTGAATGAGGTTATATGATAGTGAATTTTAGGTAATGGATTAAGTTGTGTACAGGGGTGGTGTATATACAAGGTAATGATTTTAAGAAAGTATAGCAATTAATTGATTTGATTATGTGTAGTGATTGACTAGTAAATAATTAAAGAGAAGAAAAGTTGGGGAAACGGGAATGTAAAAATAAATATAGAAATTGATAAGTTAAGAGGTGGATTTGTATTAATTTAATTGTCATATTTAAATTTGAGAAATTATACCTCTGTTTTAGGTCAGGATGTGAAAGCTTGGAAAGTCTCGTCAATTTAATCAGATTTCTATTCATAGAGCAGTGAGTGGAAAATATAAATATTTTTAAAGTATTTATAAATTAAGTATATTATCAAAATATGAGCAATTATGTGTTCGGTTATATGATTATTATGAAGATCTCTTTTATTATGATACATGTGAAATTTCAAGAATTATCTCTTGTACATTTATAACTTGGTATATGAGATATGTGATATTGAGATCTGTTTAGTATGTGAGACGTGGTATTGAGATCGATCAGAAAAGTACCGTGATTATGCACTTCTTCTAATTTACAGAAGGGCTTTGGCTGTGTTTTATACTACACTAAGGGGTCGAGTGCGATGAAGGGGTTGTGACTGTGTATATATAGTTCACCGAGGGGCTTTGGCTGTATTCTAGAATTGATTGGTAAAGGTCTTGAGACCCGCTTTCGTTCACGGAGGGGCCAAAGGCCCGTGGCGAAAGTTCTTAGCCTGAGGGACAGATTACAGATTTTAGTTAGAATGTACATTTTTGGTAAATTTTTTAGTACATTTGATGTGATGAGATTATAGCATGATTACAAGCTTATGTTTATATCATGACTTGAGATTATATTTTACCATGTTATGTGAATGTCTCACGTTTTGGTTATAATTATATGATATCTTGCGAGTTATCAATGATATGAAGTCGATTTTCGATAAAAATGAAAAAATGAAAAAGTATAAATATTTTCAAACTTCTCCATTCATTGAGCTATCAACTCATTTATTTTCCCGTAATTTTCCTACAGGTGGAATTGATTCTTTTTAGTTGGGAGAGCCTAATGATTTAGGAATGAGAGCCACACAACATGTTGAGTGTTATAATTCATATTGGTGAAACACGAAGTAAATAATTTGGGTCAACGCATTATATTTTACATAAGCATTAGATTTTGATGCATTTTTTTTTTATTTTTTATTTTTTGTAACTCATGGTCAGTTTTGGTAATAGATTTGACATCTAGTCAGCTCCTATCATCGGTGCACGTCACGTTTCGAGTCCACTAGGGTGATTCGGGACGGGTCGTGTCAGAATGTGTGAGCGGTAACGTTTACGATGTGTAGGCCTGATTACAGTGAGGAAAGGGTTGTTTCAAGCCCATTGAAATCCGATATAGATTTTGTTCCAATAATAGAAAGAGATTTAATATCAAGAGAAATATTGAAACAAATAGCACCAAAATGACTAGTTAGTAATTGATTGAGCATTTTATTTTGCCCCCACATATGCGGATCGGCAAGTTAAGATATAAGATATACACACAATATATTATTGGTAGGAAGTTTGCAACTATACCTGCATATTGGACACTGTTAGTATATTTTCAATAAATTGACCTTAAATCCACAGTTAACAATCTTGTTATGCAACGAGTAGGAAAATTCATTGATACCGTGACTCAAAATTGATAATTTTACAATCTATATTATAACTTTCTGGGAGAAAATAAATTAATTATTCTCAATCCTTTACCATGTGACACCTTTGACCAATTCACACGTACATCAAGTATTAATATGATAATTGAAGCTAAGAAATTCTATAAAGAGGCTTATATTTGTAGATTCAAACGGGATGAAGGATTAGATAGTCATTATATTTTGGTAATATTAAAAATCTTTTATTTTATTTTATTTTATTTTATTTTGTTTTATTTGGAATAAAGGCTATTAAAACGTAAGATAAGGGGTTTTTAAGCCAACTTGTTAAGGATTGACTAGAGGGTTTGTATTTCAAATCTGCTTGGTTACAATCCATAATAGGAATTGGGAATCGAGAAATGTATGTAGTAGGCATTATTCAACTCAGTTTGAACATCTTAGGTATGTTAAGTAAATGCTCCTTAAAATTAGACATTAAATTATTCTATTTGGTACAAGATAATAGTAGATTTTGTAAATTGAAAGACATTTGAGAGTGCCCTATACTCTATAGTTTCGTAGAAATGTTGGTTTTTTTCAAGAAATGCTCGAAAAACAGAATACTTTCTACTTTGGAGAATCAATTCTTGAAAAATAAATTTTAAAAGACTCTTTATTTAAAAAAATTTTAAAATAGAGAGTATTTTGATTCTCTAGTGTGTTCTTACTTTATATGAGTATTTCTAAGAAATTCTCTAAACGCATGCTACTCTCTACTTTAGAAAGATAATACTTAAAAACAAATTCAAAGACCATCTCTATTTCAACTTTTTAAAATTGAGAGTGTTTGATTCTCCAAATTAAAAGAGCCAAATACATTATTTATTCTTAATTTATAATAATTGCATTAAATATGCTACCAATTTCAATATTCACTTCTTAAAATTTTCAAATCATATTTTTATTATAATATGTTAAATTAATATGAGAACAAGTCAATGAATGTTTCTTGAGCAAAATAAAATCTATAGTCAAAATAGAAAAAAATTATTGAAGTGTTTACTCTTTAAATTTAAAAATGTTCTCATAAATAATTAACACTCTTCAAAATAGTATTACCACTACCTTTTTTCATTTTGATTTTAAAATTATATATATCAAATTTTCAATTGATCAAACTTTAATTTTAATTGCACAATTTTTATCAATTTTTCAGTCATATATTTCATCAATTTTAATCAAAATTTGCTAAAACTTTTATCATAAATTTTGTCAAATAATCCCTTAATTTTTCTTGAGCAAAATAAAATCTATAGTCAAAATAGAAAAAAATTATTGAAGTGTTTACTCTTTAAATTTAAAAATGTTCTCATAAATAATTAACACTCTTCAAAATAGTATTACCACTACCTTTTTTCATTTTGATTTTAAAATTATATATATCAAATTTTCAATTGATCAAACTTTAATTTTAATTGCACAATTTTTATCAATTTTTCAGTCATATATTTCATCAATTTTAATCAAAATTTGCTAAAACTTTTATCATAAATTTTGTCAAATAATCCCTTAATTTGGATACAAAAAAATGACAAGCCTAATCCCGTTTATACCAAAAAGAATGCCCAAACTCCTTTTACAATTTATTTCCTCCCAAAAAAAGAAAAAGAAAAAAAAAGAGGAAATATATAAAAAAAATAAAATTATCTTCTCCTTTCCCCTGGAAAATATTCATCTAACGAACAACAATCGGACTTCTTACACTGTGAATTCGATCACTCCATGTGTACGAACCAAATGCATAATCATCTTTTGTAACCCCATTTTCTGGTTTAATTGTAATGGTGAAGGTCTTCCTTTCCCCTGGACGCACAAAATTCAATGTGGTTGGAGAAATTTTTACTGAATACCCAACTGGGGTTTCGATACTCAGATTATATACACTTCCTTCGGCACCGACATTGGTCACCGTTCTGTACACCAAAACCTCGCCGTTGATGAAGGAGGCTGTAACTGTTGGATAGTTCAGATTACTTGGCGACGTAAATTTCTTTGGACAAGTAAATGATGGATCCACATTTTTTACAGTGTTGTTATAGTTGCAAAGAAAAAGAAGATAGTCAGTGTAATTTGAGTCGTAAACCAGGCCTGGATCTATTGCTTTTGCGGGTTGGAAGTGCCCCGAGCCATAATGGAAGGGAGTTGCTGGATTTTCATTGGCGTCGGTTATCGGGGTGCCGACGTTGTTGGTTTGAGTGCTGGTGGTCATCAGGGCTGATCTTATGGCGGCGCTGCTCCAATCTGGATGCGCTGCCTTGATCAGGGCGGCTGCTGCCGCTACGTGAGGGCAAGACATGGAAGTCCCTGAGAGAACGTTGTATTTCACCACCCGGTTATCTGAGAATAGTCTTGTGGGAGAGCTTGCCTCGCTCCATGCTGCCAAGATATTTAGCCCTGGCGCGGTTATATCGGGCTGTAAATCAGTAGCAGCCATCAATCATTGTACGTGTAGAAAACAATTTAACACTAACAACTTAAATTTTTAGATGAAGCGAATAAAAGAGTACTAAATACCTTTAGAATGTTGGGTTCAAGGCTATTTGGACCTGTAGAGGAGAAGGCGGCCATGAATGGTGACTGTTTACTACCCAAAACAGTTCTCGCTAGAACTATTCTTGCGGTTGGATTTTTGTTGGTTCTTATGTAATTGAGAATAGTGGCTGAATCATTTGAAAATATGGCAGTTCCAGGAAGTACATGAGCATCAACTGATACTCCAATTCCATCCACAGGATTCTGCAAAATGAACCCTGCGCCGCCTGCTCTTTTCACCTCCATACCTTTTTCTACATTAGTTGAATTTCCCCTCAAGCACAAAACTATTTTTCCCTGCACAATTTCTTGTGAAAGAGTTCCAGAAAGGCATAACCTGGAAAAGATCAGGTGCAAAAGGGTCAAGAAATTTTCCAGATGACTTGTTTGGTAAGGTGGAGTACCATGAATCGAATGTGCTCCTTATAAATTATTATAATTACCCGGTGGTACCATTAGTTGTTGTTCCAGGGGCTTCTGCATCTCCAGCATAAACTAAAGGGCGCACAGTGTTTAACTTGTATGGCGTTACAGTTTGACCCTGGATCATATAACCATGTCAATAGATTTAAATTTCTCAAAACCAATGAAATTTGAAGGACCTGAAATCAAGAGTATAATGAAAGAGAATTTACTTCAATTTTCATTCCATTCCCCAGCAGAACAGGCGAGTTGAAAATCCGATCAATGCTACTGGCCCCCACCGTAAGTATCCAGGGCGCCACATTTATTACGGTTGATGGGGCCGGGCCCCAATTTCCAGCACTCGCCACCACTACAATATTTTTCTTGGCTGCGTGCAGTGCTCCCAGAGCAATCCCATCTTTTGTGTATTCGATATTCTGATATGGCGTGATCGAGATGCTTATTACATGGACACCATCAGCAATGGCATCATCAAAGGCTGCCAGCATATCCTCGTCAAAACATGTGCCCTCAAGTACCTTCGACTGACTGGGGATCGTCCAACATACTTTGTAAATTGCAAGTCGCGCAAGAAGAGCACCACCTTTGGCTGTGCCACTGGCAAAGCCGCCAAGAAGTGAGGTGTTGTGCACTTCACGGCCTGCCACGGTCGAAGCCGTGTGGGTCCCATGTCCTTCTCTGTCGCGTGCAGATCGATAATTTATTGTCTCATTCAATGGGCCGTAATATGCCTCGTAACCTTTTAAATAGTAGCGAGCTCCTATCAATTTTCTACAGAAGATTGATTTTAACATCAGACGCTAATAATATTTTGTTCATCGTAATTAAAATATATGTCATGGAAAATTAAAATTAATTTACCTGTTGCAGTGAGATGAGTTAAAAGCTACTCCAGATTCGCAGATTCCTTTCCATGAACTCGGAATGGGTTCCATTCCGTCATCACTAAAACTCTCTGACTCTGGCCATACTCCTGCTCAATGAAGTTGCATTATTAGAATCTTACTTTTACTGATAAAGTTGTTAATTCTGTCTAAAACCATCAAAACTTTGTAGTTTCATGACTTGTTCACTAATGTGGAATATATTGTCTTTGATGGTATTAAAGAACAATAAAAAGCTAAAATTTTGTTTGTTGTACTGTCTAGTAACATCCCCTGGTGCATACCAAACATACCCTTAGGGTCGGAGGATCTTGTCTGGTTAAGCACAATATTTTCAAACATGCAAGCCTCAAAAGCAATCAAACTACAATGTATTTGGGTACAATTTAACACTTAATTTTCAAGGACGGAGAGGGTTCCTGGAGCAATTTAGAGGTAGATATTCAAAATTGATACGTAATAAGAAATCAAAGAACTAGTCCGGACTAGCAGCACAAGGCCACTCACTGAAGAACGGAAACAATTGCAAGATTTCCTTAGCTCTGATACTATGAAAGCAAATTAGGACACAAAATGTAATTATTCCGAGACATTGAGTCAGTAATTTAAGGATTAATGATTGAAGTAATTTATTTAATTCATATTTTGACAGCCTAGGAACAGTAATATCAAAAAACTGGTTCCAGGGACTTGTACTAACCAGTGTCCAGGACGCCGACTATAATATCTTTTCCATAATTTGCTTTCTTCAGTATTTCTTCATCTCCAATTCCGCCGATATTGCCTGAATATCCACTTTTGAGCAGGTTCGTGAAATCCCATGATCTTGTAGTTTGAATCCTATACTTCATGGGGTGGCTTTTGAATACTGAAACCACTCCGTCCATTTCTGTAGAGAGATAAAGGCCCAAAATTTAAATTAACGAACTACAATCAACACTTTAATTTTGATATAATACATTTAAATTAATTACCAGATAGCTTTTGAGCTTCTTCTCCTGTGAGAAATGCTGAGAAACCATTGATAACATTCTTATAACTGTACACCAGTGAAGCTTTTGCGTCTTCTGTTGAACTTTTTACAGATGTTAGGTACGAGACATGCTTGTCTTCAGTCTGGAGTAACGTTCTCTTTTCTTCGTGTTCTCCCATGTAAACTATGTATACCTGTGGCATCGGGGAGTTATTCATATCAAAACCACATTCAAATGAAAGCGAAGATTTAGCAAACAATTTAATGACACAAAACCTGGCGCTTTGCAAACGAAACCGAGACACGAAGAATAATCAGAACTATTAATAATGTACTGACGGGGACCTTCATAATTCTAGGACAAGTTTATTGTCTAGCAAAACTTGAGATTAATGAATATGATTTGGGCTAATTTATAGTAGTCCCAGTATGAAGTTTGTTATAAAAATATAAAGAGAGTGATTCTAGGAGAAATTTTCAGAATTTGAAGAAATCACTAATCATGGATGGCCTTTTTAAATTAAAACCAGACAAATTCCAAGCATTAAGCTGTTGAAAAGTCATAGTTTATTTGAATTTTCTGGGAAAGAGTCTAGAATTTGTTTGAATAATTCATTTGGTATGTATCTACCGCTGCTGGTCAAAGATTACTCTGTACTGCAAGTAATTTTAAACAAATATTCTGAACAAGTCAGTTTGGAAAGTTCGCAATTTGAAAATAAATTAATGAAAGAAGTTTCCAATTGTGATTTTCAATTTGAGTGTCAAGTCTTGAATTAGAAAAGGGATTCTATACATAGAATATGTTTCTAGATTAATTAATGCATTGTTTTTAATCCTACTTTCAGACTCTTGATTGCAGAAATTCATATTTGGTTTAAAAAATACGGGGTAATGATCAAGATGAATTTTGATCAGGGTAAAAGTCATTTAGTTACTACTTCACTTTGATTTTATTTTTCGAGCCAAGGCTAGAAAAGTATCAGCACATCGATCGAAGGCTGGTTGATTAGGACAAGAATAAACATTTATGCGTCCCTTTATTTCATTTAACATGTCAAACACGTGTAATTAGAATTGTAGAATTACAATCCTTGTAAATTAACACAAGCATGCATGCGAACCCAACATTTTATGATGTAAATTCCAATTTTATAGCAACGATCTTTTTGCAATTGCACAATGTTTGGGCTGTGATGCCGAAAAGCTATTACATCCCATTTCGTATTAATCAAAGGTGAATACTATTTATTCAAAGTCAAAGTCATATAAGGACTTTAATGAAGTAAATCATTTTAGTGTGACTTGAATCGACAAAATTATTTTTGGGAGTTTATTTTACAAATTGACAACTTTTAAAGGTTTAAGATGGATAAAATTTAATTTTGAGGATTTACTTTTCTATTAATGGAAGTTGACTAACTAAATATTATATCTAATTGAAGAAGAGGGACTTCCATTGTAAAAATGGGTTAGAGGAGTACCAATGGCAAGTTATTAACTGATATATTATTTTTTTACTTATGATACATACACACAAGTGAAAGAGAGCTGGACGGGTGGGATGTTAACTAATATCCATTTCTCCTATGATATAAGAGAGAGAGAGAGAGAGAGAGAGAGAGAGAGAGAGAGAGCTGGAAAGGGCAGAAGCAAGGAAAACAAACGAGAGAGAGGAAGAAAAAGGAGAAAGAAAAGAAAGAGAAAAGAGGAAAGAAAGAGGGAAAAAAGGAAATTTCGACAAGGTGATTTAAAAATAAGTGATTTCTACTATTAAACTTGAATNCCATTGTCCGCGTTCTATACTACACTGAGGGGTCGACTGGGGATGAAGGGGTTGTGACTATGTATATATAGTTCACTGAAGGGGCTTGACCGTATTCTAAAATTGATTGTTAGAGGTCTTTGAAACCCGCTTTCGTTCACGGAGGGGACCAAAGGCTCATGGCCAAAGTGCTTGGCCCGATGGATGGATTTCAAATTTTAGTTAGAGGATACATTTTTTGTGGATCACATGTGATGTGATGAGATGGTGAAATAGACATTAGTTGATGACTATATCGTGATTAAGAGACGATATTTACAGTATTATGAGAATGTCTTACTTTTTGTTTATAATTATATGAAGCTATCATGTGAAATATTAAATGATATGAACTTGATGTTTGATAAAAATGTTTAAAGGAGAAAGTATGATTATTTTTGAACTATTCCACTCACTGAACTGTCAACTCATATTTTTCTAAAATTATTCTTCCAGGTAATATTGGTCCATGATAGCTTGAGGAGTCTGGTGATTTTAAAGTTAGAGCCACACGACATATTGAATTATATGAGTCAATTTGATAAACCACGAAGTAAATTTTGGGCCCATCGCACTATGTCTTTATAAACATTTGATTTTGTTGCATTTTTGAAATAACTCATAGTCAGTTTTAGTGATAGATTTGACATCTAGTCAGCATCTATCATCGGCGCATGTCACGTTTCGGGTCCATTAGGGTGATTTGGGCTCGATCCATCGATACTACACCATTAACCATTATCCAATTACTCAAGTGACCTATTGACCCGAGCCCAATACGCGTGCCATGTGTGCTGCTCAAGACCATTGATCATCTCCTGAAATTAATGGTACTACCCTCTTGATATAAATGGGACTCCAGTAGGTGCCCTAGATGCGTCTTTCATTCTTGAGTTTGGTAGAACCCTTTGGATTCTCTCTAAGTCGTTTGATTTTCCTTCGTGTTCTTCATTCTCTTTTTTGGAACTTCTAGTTTCAGATTTTAGGTGTAAAATTGTTTAGTATTTGTGATCGATATAGTGAAGGAAATCGTTGACGTCTATGTGGTGTTATTTTCATCTGTTGAAGTAGCTGTTATTCGTGTATTAAGGGTTAAGGTTTGGGTCTTATACTTGAACAAACGGTACAATGATCTCAGCCCTAAGTTTTTCCAAAATCCTTGATGTAAATGATCGATTCTGGGTTGTGAATCTGAAAAAGAACTTTATATTTTTGTTGTTCTTGGTTATTTGTTTTCTTGAACTAACATCAGTATCAGAGCCACTTGGTGGTTGTTCGTGTTCCTTGAGTTATGGTTTGTTTGTGAAAAATCAATTTTCACAACCAGATCTGAGAAGTCCTGGATTCTTTTTTCCTTTTTTTGTTTTGGAACCCTAGATCCATTAAACAATAGATACAATGTCATAGTTAATACTTCGTGTTTTACGTGAAATCGAACTAACACTGTCTTCTTAGTGATTTACAGGGTTGAGTCCTGGAAGTTCTTGGGCAGATCTGTTGGTATTGTCAGAACTTCATGTGGATTATTAGTTAAAATCAAGGATCGCTTCTCTGGTTACTTCGTTACATTACTATTTTTCAATTCTTTAACATATTGTCCAATGATTGTTATAACCTGAATCTTATTTGTGAATATCCTCATTATATTGACACTTGTTGCATTGTTATACCAATATATGTTAGGATATTCACGTTTATATTGATGTTTAAGTATTCAGTTAATATTCATCACTCTAGTTTCTTAGTTCTTTCTTCTAGTTTTAGTCTTCCAAATTGTGCCTTGACCTGGAGACTTGATCTTCACGGAATCCTGGTGAATTCTAGGATTTATTACTAGGAGATCATTATATTACCTATTCTTTTCTTGTCATTATTTGCAGTACTTAGTGCTCTTTCTTTCTTTGTTGTTTCTTGAAATTAATCATCTCTGTGTATATTGGTGTAATTTCTTTTATACTGTTTGAACCTTCTTTTATACTGTTTGAACCATTTCTTTGTGTGGGGATATCCAATTTTATATTGAACATTGAACTTCAAAACCATTTTCTTGTGTTGATTAAAAACTTCCAATGTTAACTTCTACTTTTAAGCTTGGGGGTTTTTATATTTGGCAACAAAAAATGAAGGGAGTCCTTGTTCAACATAAAGTTTCGAAAGCAATAACACAAAAATTCCCTATTACAATGTTTGCTGACCAAATTGCTGAAGCTGATGAACTTGCTTATTCCTCAATAATTTTCATCTATTTGATCAAGTATTAAGAAAGGTGGGAGAACAAGATGATTCTAAGGCTTTATAGGAAAAGTTAGAAAAACTTTACCTAGTGAAATCATTGCCTAATAAATTGTTCCCGTTGGAGAAGTTTTTTAGTTTTACCACTAGAGCTTTAGAAGACAATCTTGATATCTTTAATAAATTGGTGCAAGACATAACTAATGCTGGTGAGAATGTGTCTGAGGAATACCAAGCTGTCATTCTTCTTAATGCTATACTTGAAATGTATAAAGAATTTAAGAGTGCTATTAAATATGGTAGAGATACCTTGACACTAGATGTGTTGTCAATTCCTTAAGAAACAAAGAAATGGAACTCAAAGCTGAAAAACATAATAGAGACTCTGAAAGCCTATTTGCTAGAGAAGTCAGTGTAATCAAGGTTATCAAGCTAATAATAATAACCCAAAAAGGAAGAGTAAAGGTAGACATAGGACAAAGTCTAGAACTGAAAATAGGAGATGCTATGGGTGTGGCAAAACTGGACATTATATAAAAAATTGTGTGAGGAAAAATGGTGAACAGAGAGAGAAGAGTGTAGATGAGGAAAATATAGTAGAGCTAATGGAAGAAAAAACCGTTGATGTTTATGTAGTCACAAATTCCACTCCAAACTTGAACATTATAGATTTTTCAGAGAATAATGATCAGAATTAAGAGTGGATTATGCACTTAGCGTGCAATTTTCACATGACCTCTAAAGATATAAATGGTGATGAGTTTGTGATGAGAAATAATGTTGCTTGCAGGGTTGTGGGGATTGGCAATGTAACTTTACAGTATGAAAATGGATATATCTTTACTCTAGAACAGGGACGGATGCAGATATTGAAGTAGGGGGATACAATCAAATTTACAAAAAAGTTGTGAAGAATTTTTCATTGAAAAATTTATATCCAAAGAAATATAGCCCATGTAATTTTACATGGGTATGACTTATTTGATTGTAAAATTTCAAAAAAAATTAATGTTATATCCCATATAAAATTTTTTAATAAAATGATATAAATTATATTGAAAATTTGTATCACCAAAAATAATAATAATTTAAATTTTTTAAAGAAAATACAAGTTTTACGTCTCATTTTAATAAGCACATTTGATATATTTTTAACTATTTTCGATATCTATTTGGATCATTCAGTATACTTACGATGTAGTTCTCGAAATGAGTTTCAAGATGACATAGACACTTTGTGAATTCAACTAGCATATGATCGTCGAAAATTTTTTAAAGTTTGCATGTTCTCAAAATTCTTAAAATAATAGTTTGGAATGACCTACTTTGACAAGCTATAACATTCGCTATGGTTGACCGTTTCAAGCACCATTAACAATGTAGAAAACTAAGTAGTGAACACTTCGAAATGATATTAAAAGTGCAAAATTTCAGTTTCATTTGATATCTCATAATAAGTTCTAAAATTGAGACAAAAACATAAAAATTTGAAAAAAAAAAAAAAAAACACCGAAGTTGGGGGCACATGACCCCCATGCCCACCCCTGTGTTCGTTCTTGCTCTAGAAAGAGTAAGATATGTTCCTGATTTAAACATAAATTTGATTTAAATGGGTGGCCTAGATGACATAGGCCTCCAAACCAGGCTTGGAAATGGCATGCTAAAAGCTATCAAAGGGACCCTTGTCATTTTCAAGGGTACTAAGAGAAATGTGTCTATGTCATTAGAGCTGAAGTTGTTACAAGTTATGCTGTTGAGTCTTCCAATGCAAAGATTGATGCCATCTTAAAATGGCAAAACAGGTTAGAACATGTTAGTGAGAAGGGCCTGCATATTTTGAACAAAAAAGATGCGTTTAAAAAGGATATTATGCACCCGTTTGGCCTCTATTATTTTTTATTATAATGGGGAGAATAGTTTTTTTTTTTAAAGGATTCTTGTAAAATAATGAAAATTTTCAATTTACGTGTAATATTATTTATTGAAGATTGTGTGGTTGAAAATAGGAGAGAGAAAAATTTAAATTAATTTGATGAGATTTAATGGGGGCCAAACGAGGGTTATTTCTAAAATTCCTTTTTGTGAGTATTACACTTTACGAAAACCGCATAAACTCCATTTCAATACTGGAAACCAAATCTATGTTGGAATATATTCATTTTGACTTGTGGGGTCTCTCATCTACCATCAGTCAAGGTGGAAACAAGTATTTCTTATCATTGATTGATGATTTTTCTATAAGGGTTTGGGTAATAAGATTGAAACAAAAATCTGAGACATTTGAAAAATTTAAAGGCTGGAAGATACTGATTGAAAATCAAACTGGTAAAAAGATAAAAACCTTGAGAATTGATAATTGGTTAAAATTTTGCAATGCTGATTTTGATCATTTTTGCAAAATCAATGGGATACTTAGGCATAAAACTGTGCCATATACCCCTCAACAGAATGGGATTGTTGAGAGGATGAACAAGATCATTTTAGATAACGTTAGGTACATGATGGTTAGTTCTTGAGTTCCTAAAGTGTTGTGAGGGGGAGGCTGTTATGACTATAGTATATATGATTAATAGAACACCCTCTAGTTCCATTGATGGCAAGTCACCTGAGGAACTATAGCCACCTCAGGATTTTTGGTTGTGCTACCCAGTGGTGGATCTAGGCTGTTGCGAGTTAAGGTGGCCTCTCTAGCTGGATTCGTCGGAAACGCTGGAGATTTTTTTTTTTATTGACAATAGATTCAATTTTTACATTATATTACTTGTAACTCAATTCATTTTCAAACTTCTCTTGTAGCTTAGCTGATTAGAGCTTGCATGTGCATATTTGAAGTCTCAAGGTCGAATCACTTACCAATGAATTTGTTGTGACCGCTTGCAAGGGTTGTTGTAAACTTAACTATTACGACACTTCTTGAATTGTGTCACTAAATTTAACAAAATAATATTTGTTAGGTTTTAATTGTTTTAATGCAAAAACAATTGTAAAGATTCGAATCCACACTCTTCCTTCGAATTATATAAAATTTGACAACAATGTTATTTAATGAGTCCTATTTATTCTTATAACAGAATTGTATATGTTCAATTTGATCAAAATAATTATTTTATTTAAACTTTAGGCCTTGTTCAATTCCCTTTTTTGTCAAAATACATTTTTCTGTTCTTTTCATCTGCACATTTTTCAATAAAATAATATTACATGCAAATTCAAAGATTTCCTTTATTATTAGCCAAGCATTCTCCATCAAATCACTACTCCGAAAATGTATTTTTTTTTTTTTGTAAAAAATGAATATTAAATGGACTCTTAATATTTTATTGCGGCTAATGGTAAAGCTCAACTGCCGCCTATGCTGGCTCAAACTCCTAGATTCACCTTTAGCGCTGCCTACTCTCATCAAAATGTAGGCAAGCTGAAACCAAGTTCCCAAAACTGTGTATTTATGGGATATATTGAAGGTGGGAAAGTTTATTGATGATGGGCTAGACATTTTAAAGATTTTAAAATGATCACTAGCAAAAATGTGACTTTTAATGAGAGTGACATGCCATGTATGAGTGAGAAATATCAATGTGATGTTACTAGGCTGCAAATGGAGCCTTTGACTCCACATGAACATAAAGGCCTTGAGCAGGTTGATGAGGAAACCGAGAATGTTCCTGATCCTCATGAGGATATTAAGGAAAATATCCAAGAAGGTGGAGTAATGATAACCCATTAGAAGATTATTAGTTAACTAGGAATAGAGTTAGAAGAGAAATAAGAGAACCTGCTAGAATGAAATACTATCTATTCTTAGCTGTTTTGTCTTACCAGAATTTGTCCTTTACGGACCTAAATCCTATAAGGAGGCCGTGAGCTACCACCTATCAAAGAATTGGCAACAAGCTATGGGGGAAGAGATGGACTCCCTGTTAAAGAATAAAACCTGGATCCTAGTCCCTAAACCTAAGAATAAGTCCATAGTAGACTATAAATGGATATATAGCATAAAGGAAGGAAATATAGAGAATTGGCGAGTTAGGTTTAAAGTTAGACTTGTGACAAAGGGGTTTACTAAAAAACCTGGTATTAATTACATTGAAATTTTCTTAGCGGTTGTTAAATATACCACCATCAGAGTCATGGTTGCCCTAGTTACTCAATATGACCTTGAATTGAAACAAATAAATGTAAAAACAGCTTTCTTACGTGGAGATTTGGAATAATCAGTTTATATGAATCAACCACAGTTATTGATGTTAAGGAACTTGAACATGTTTGTTTGCTAAAAAGGTCTTTATATGAGCTTAAACAATCACCTAGACAATGGTACAATAGATTTCATAACTTTGTATCATTACTTAATTTCATAAGAAGTCCTTTTGATCATTGTCTTTATTTTAAAAGGAATGAAACTGGATCTATGATTGTTTACTTGCTCCTCTATATTGATGATATGTTGTTGATTGGCAAAACTATAAGTGATATTAAAGATATCAAAATGTCTTCGAGCTTTGAGTTAGAGATGAAAGATTTAGGTTATGCTAAAAGAAATTTTGGAATGGATATAAAAAGAAATAGGATAAAACAGATTTTATTTCTATCTCAGGCTTCTTACATAGAAAAGGTGTTATCTAAGTTTTCCATACATGAATCAGAATTTGTTTTTTTACCCATTGCCGTCACTTTAAACTCGGTAAGGACCAGTGTCTAGTTGATGAATATGATATTAAACAAATGGAAAAAGTGTCTTATGCTAATGCAGCTGGGTCTATAATATACACAATGATATGCACTCGACATGATATTGCACATGCAATTAGTACATTACGTAGATTCATGGCCAATCCTAGCCCTGAATATTGGACTGCTCTAAAGTGGTTATTAAGATACTTAAAGGAGTTATATGATTTGGGATTATATTTTAAATTCAGCAAAGAAGGTGTTGTTTTAAAGGGTTTTGTTGACTCTGATTATGCTAGGTATATGGACAATAGGAAATCAACAACTTCTTTTATGTTTACTCTATGTGGTACTTGTATAAGTTGGAAGTCCCAATTACAGTCTATTGTTGCCCTATCCACTACAGAAGTAGAATATATTGTTGTGACTGAAGCTATAAAAGAGCCTTTGTAGCTCAAAGGTTTGTTGTGTGAATTGCATGAACTCTCTAATCCAGTATTTGTTTATTCTGACGGCCAAAGTGCAATACATTTATGTAAAAATCCAATTTTTCATGAAAGGACAAAATATATAGATGTTATAATATACTTTATTAAAAATATAATTCAAAAGGATTCTATATCATTACAAAAGATTCCCACACAGTTTAATCCTGCAGATATGGGGACCAAGGTAATCCCTTTGAATAAGTTTAAATCATGTCTTCATATGTTGAACATTGATACTTGGTTACATTTGTGATTCTGCAGGTTGTTGGAAAGCTACTTGATGCTGGTGATCCTATGGATGGAAATTTGGATTATCTAGACATGTTCTATAAAATTGATCATTGGCATTAAGGTGGAAATTTTTTGGGTTGTGATGCCAGGGAGCCCAGCCCAAATAATCAGAGGTGGCGATGATGAAATATTTGGTTTTGACTCATTGATACTATACCATTAACCATTGCCCAATAACTCAAGTGACCCATTGACTCGAGCCCAATATGTGTGCCACGTGAGCTGCTCCAGGCCATTGATGATCTCCTGAAATCAACGGTGCTGCCTTCTTGATATAAATGGGACTCCAGTAGGTGCCCTAGACACATCTTTCATTCTTGAGTTTGGTAGAACCCTTTGGATTCTCTCTGAGTTGTTTGGTTTTCCTTTGTGTTCTTCATTCTCTTCTCTGGAACTTCTGGTTTCAAATTTTAAATGTAAAATTGTTGAGTCTTTGTGATTCTTGTAGTAAAGGAAACTGTTGATGTGTGTGTGGGGTCATTTTGGTATGTTGAAGTAGCTACTTTTCGTGTATTGAGGGTTAGGGTTTGGCTCTTATACTTGAACAGACGGGTACAATGATTTGAGCCCTAGGTTTTTCCAGATCCAATTTGGGAATGGCGAGGGACGGATAATTGAGATTACTAGGAGAGGGTGACTTTATAGGACATTTGAAGGAAGAATCAAGTTTCTTAACACCAATGCTGCAGAGGAAAAGAAGATAGTCGGTGTATGAAGCATCATACACGAGTCCAGGATCCGCTGCTTTCATTGGCTTGAAATGACCTGATCCGTATTGGAAAGGATCTGCTGGCTTGCCGGATGCGTCAGTTATTGGCTTGCCAAGATTGTTAATCAGTTCCGCTGCAGGGAGAAAATGTTCGAGAATATTGGAAAATAGATGCTACAAGTCCGAGAAAATGTTGGACAAAAGGCGTCAAAATACCTGAGGTCATTAGAGCAGATCTTATAGCAGCACTACTCCAACTTGGGTGTATGGCCTTCAGAAGTGCCGATGTTGCACCTATATGTGGGCAGGACATAGAAGTTCCTGATAGGATATTATATTTCACCACTCGATGATCTTGGTTTAGTTTCGTTGGAGATGAGGCTTCACTCCATGCAGCCAATATATTTAGTCCTGGAGCCGTAATATCCGGCTGTCAGGTAAGCCATCAAAGTTATTTATGTGCGTTTTACTCAATCAAGATCCTATTTTGCACTAGTTAGATATCAATTGGTATCTCTGCTTACCTTGAGAATGTGGGGTGAAATCCTGCTCGGACCTCTACTAGTGAAGAAAGCCATGAATGGTGCTGGTTTACTATCTAACTCTGTCGTAGCAGGTGCTATATAGGCCATTGGTGTTTTCGTAGAATTGATGTAGTGGAGAATTTTGAGAGCATACTCATAATTGACAGCAGCGGCTGGAAGAAAATGAGCACTAGCTACTATTTCAGCTCCATTTGCTTTACTATTTCCCAGGATGAAACCAATCCCTCCAGCCCTTTTCACTTCCCAACCTTTTCCCTCTCTTGTTCCATTTCCTCTTAAACATAATACAATCTTCCCCTTTGCTGCCTTGGGCGAAAGTGAGCCAGGTAAACATTGCCTGCACATTATCAATGTTCAAAATTCATTACACACACAAATAAAGAGAAAGACAGACGGAGATAGAGGGAAAACGAACCCTGAGATATCTTTTGACACATCAGGATTTACTATCTGTGCTGCATAAACTAGTGGGTACATCTTTTTTTCCAGCTTATATGGAGTCACTGATTGTCCCTGAGAATA